TGCTACCTCTGAGACACAGGAACTTATTGTCAGTGTCTTCAATACTGATACATACAAATATCACGCTGTAAAAAAGAATCACACTGTTTGTCAATAGCTTTGTAATTACATGTAATTAGTTGTTTATTGTAGCTGACCTTTTGCTACCTGTGGACAAGACAGTTTCTCTGGTGTTTAAACATTAATATACATTGAAAAGCAGTAGGCATAAACATTTCTTAATTGGTTAATTTATACTGAATTAGTCTCAAGATGTTGAGAAATAGGACAGGCTATGGCAGCTACACACTTAGTCCAAACCTAGATACTAAACAGGAAATATATTTTGCTTCTCGAAAAGGAATGGAAATTTAACAAAGTTCTGTAAAGTGGAAAAAAACAAGTGACTAACCTGTTACATGATGTATTTGTATATAAAGATTGTTACGTTCAAAAGGTCTGTATATAGAACTACATATACAAGGGGTTCTACTGTAGTTTTATTGTACACATGACTATATGTAATAAGAGGCAATATGATCAGGTTAATACAAAGATATAGCAGTATGACAGATATGATGTATAGAAATGCCTTGATCCTGTGATATATACCCATCCTTCCCTTTCCGAACATAAAATAAGAACTTTAGTAAATATAACACATTGTTTTATACCTACGTACACTAGTATCAATTATCTAGGGCCTACACTTAATACTCAGTAGCACAGTAATTTACTGACATCTCATATATTATTTATCTCCCTTGTCGACCAATCTTCTCTCATTAGAAGGTCAGCTCCCAATTCTATACCTCCCTACCTGAGTTGGCTGTTCATGTTGTATAGTACTTGGCTTTAATCAAGTACAAAATCAAACAATTTATTTCACTCGTACCAAGCTTTATGATATTTTTACACTTCTGATCCTATTTTATTCACGGCTCAAGTGTTAATTCAAACGATAATGATTTTTTAAAGGCCTTTTTTTTCGCTAGTAAGCACCATGGTCTTATGACCTTTGATATAATTATTGCAAAGATATAAAAATAACCTAGCAACAGTTGATATACAGATCCTAAAGTAGAGTGGAAATTTTAGTTTCATACATCAGTTCTAAAAGAATTGATTCCACTTCACATTCCCACATATAATCTGAAATGTTATCATGCTGAATAGCATCTAGGAAAGCGTGGAGTAAGACTTGCTACATCAATAATTCACGCTGACTGGAGGTTTCTGTACGAGGTGTATATATGTATTGGGGATATACTGGTATTACGGTAAAATATCTGGTAATAATTTCTTCACTGTAAGATATAAAATGGAATGGAATTTTTAATACAGAGACATTAAACCAATCCTGTGGATGACATAACATGAAGGCAGGGCCTTACACCATGTGTGGCAGAGTCTCAAATAAGGAATACCACAGGGTTATCCTTTCAGTATAAAATTGAAATTTAATTCATCTGTAATGTAGCTCTATTAACAATATAGGTTTATGATTAAAGGTAAGATTTTAGATAAGAATAATGGTAATATAATATTCCTAAGTAGATAAATATTTATCATATCAAACTTATATAGTTAAATCTTGTATACTTAGGATTACATACAAATAATTTAAATTTCACATCTTTATGAATATGATTATGCATGCAATACAGTTGAACTAGATATAGAAAATTCATACATGGTAGAACTGGTTCACTCCAAACTTGAACATGCAATATTGCATAAATGGTTAATCTGAACATGTATTCATTAATCATGTTATAACCAAGTTTTCTTAAAATATTTTACATCGAAGTCATAACTCAAAATGAGGCAAACATTATACAAACAATTCTACTTTTCCCAGGATGCCTCTGTCTAGGCTGTCAGGAAATCTGTGAAATATTTGGCTTTTTAAGTTACTCAAAGAAGACTATTCTGGTAATAGTCTGAAAACTTGGCAGCACCGACTACTTTTTATCTCTAGTAAGATGATATCTTAAAAGAAGTAAAGCATGAGGTTTGAGCTGTGCTGATTTTAAAGATTTGACATACAGCACATGAGTCCCTGGTTGATGATGTAGCCTGTTTACCAAGTATACCATTGTTAGCTTGTCCTTAGTCAGATAGCATCACAGCTTCCTAGTCAGACTTCTAGGCAACTAAGGTGAGGACAGGAGTTCTACAAACCACCAGTCAATCTTAAATATCACCAGTCCCCATTTTAATTACGGTACCATAGCGAGATTGCTCACAGAAATTGAGATAGTTCTAGAATGCTTGAACTTCCATTAAGTAGCTTTCCAACGTTTCTCAGATAAGGTTCCATACCTCTCTCAGTGAAGTATAACAAAACCCATGTGTACATCATATTATCCTATAATACTGATGAGTATCTTATACTGCAAACAAGTAATGCTGATTTCATTATTCTGAAGTGTATTTATCTAGATTTAACAAGAGATTTTCAAAAGAGCGAGAGGAGTACATGTTTACGAATACTGGTGATTTAATGAAAATTTTGAAAGAAGCATATCCTTTAAACTATGACAGAAGCTAACAAATTTTTTAAAGAGAAGTAAATCTTACCCTACATCATGGAGCTTCACAGTGTACAGGGTCAGTATTTTATGGAATAAACATAATGAAAGCTAGGTTGTTGACTCAAAACAAATCACTGAATTCTTATCTTCAAGTTCAAGCACCTGTTGGCAAATGGAATGAGATAACCAGTATCTCTAGGGCAGTAGCCTCCTCATTGTTACAGACTAAAACTGACCATAACAGTTACTGTTTACAGGTCCTTCACACGCTTATGTCAGGGTAGCCTCCTCATTGTTACAGATTAAAACTAATGACAACACTCACTGTTTACAGGCCCTTCACACCCTTATATCTGGGTAGCCTTACCATTGTTACAGACTAAAACTGACGATAACAGTTACTGTTTACAGGCCCTTCACACCCTTATATCAGGGTAGCCTCCCCATTGTTACAGACTAAAACTGACGATAACAGTTACTGTTTACAGGCCCTTCACACCCTTATATCAGGGTAGCCTTACCATTGTTACAGACTAAAACTGACGATAACAGTTACTGTTTACAGGCCCTTCACACCCTTATATCAGGGTAGCCTTACCATTGTTACAGACTAAAACTGACGATAACAGTTACTGTTCATAGGCCCTTCACACCTTTATATCAGGGTAGCATCCCCATTGTTAGAGACCATAATTGGTGATTACACTCACTGTTTACAGACCCCTCCCCCCCATCCCCCCACAACCTCTGGGTAGAGTGAAGATTTCAAATTCTATGAAATTAAGAATTGGTTATTTTCATTGTCTTTTTTGACAAAAGGATTGTTGAGCTTCCAGCTTTTGATTTAAGATGAAGTAAATTCTTCAAAATTTCAAATATGCTACAAATCATTCATTAAAGTAGTAGGTAAAAGGAAATAAGAAAACAACCCACTTTGAATTAAAACAGATTACATTTAAAAGTTGAATTTTCCTATATAATATCTTCCACCCATGAACATTAGAACATCCTATGTAAACTGTAGTAAAGTTTACCCTCTCCTCAGGGTGAAATGTGACAACCTGGGGTCATGAAATTTACAATTTTGGTAAAGCATCTGAAGGCCTTTTCATCCATGAAGAGTGTTTGATTCTACCTTTCCTGGGATTTGAAAGTAAGTTTTTTGAAGTTTCAACCAATTTGATTCTTTTTGGCCCTGCCCCTCAGGCCCCTGACGTTCAGGGACCACATAATTTACAATTTTGGTGCACCTTTAGCAATTAGCTCTGGAGTTTTCAAGAAGAAATAGAAAATGTTGAAAGTTTATGACACACAACACCAGACATGAGGGGATCACAATAGGTCATTCTGAGACTTTGTCTCAGGTGATATAACTTTATTACTCCTTTCTTCATCTAAGAGAAAGGGTGAGAATTTAGAAAAACAGATTAACATTTATCGTAAATTGTTTAATTACATGAATTTCATTGCAATTTTCACCCAGAAATATTTTTAAATAAAAAGATAAAATACAGTTTTAATATTGGTGGTTATAAAGTTAAAGACAATGGTGTATCTGTGTATTTGGGATTCACATTTGGTTCATCCATAAAGGCCAACCAACACAGATAAGATTGTTAGAGTTTGATGTTAGACATTACAGGTCTACACTGAATAAAGATCTAAAGCCAGGTGTGTCAAGTAGTGATAAAGCTTTGTTTATATTTAGCCTATTTATAGCAATTGAGTAACTATGCATGTTGAAATAGTATGAACAAAATGTGCATTATACTATCATTAAAACCTTGTATGAAAATTAACCTGTGGGAGACTTGATAAACATTCAGTCCATTTGAGTCAAATGAGGCAAGGCAATCCTGTATACACAAAGGGATTCCCACATCCAACTTTAACGACTCTGACAAAAAATATGAACTTGTCGTATTTGTCACATTAACACAGTGAAAATTGTATGGGTCAAAAGGCAAGGCCTTTTATTCTTGGCTAAGGATGGGAGTTTTTGCCTCATTTTTGGAAGAAAACCAGTGAAGAGGAAGGGAAATTGCCAAGAGTACATTGCTGGTTTTGGGCATTGTCTTCAATATGAAATCATTTAAATTAGGAGCCTATACTCTGACTGAAGTGACAAAAGTATGCTTATACAGAAGTACCTAGTATCTGGATAATGAAACACAAACTAAAGATGTGGTTTCTCTGCTAGAGAAACAAAGAAATAACTGACAGGAGAGGTTTTTTATTTTGACAGATTATACACAATGGAAGGGAGATAATTCACTCAAACTTTTGCTGATGGTTCCATGCACTGGTAATCAGACAAAAATAAGATCTATCATTACTCTCCCAAAAATTAAGATCACAAGTCTCTTATCTTTCAGATATTTTCTTTTTAAACAGTAGTGTTTGTCTAACTGCTGCAAAGAGAAAAACATTTCATACCCTTGTTGATTATAAGAGGCATTTAGGATATCAGATCAAAACACTTACCTTTTCATGTGGTTTCAGTAACTGTTCTTCAAAACAAAAACACTGAAAAAAAAAATATAAGCTTCACTGGAAATGCCAGAATGTCACACTTCCTACATGTACTTATACTGCATATTTTACACCAGAAAAACGTTACTTCATTTCAGAACTACATGTCTATAAACAAATCTTCAAATTAGTAAGTTTTACTGTTAGAACACATACAACAGTAATCATATCAACCCAATCCCTCTCTATTATCAAACTCAAAGCCATTATATCAGAATTTTATTGTAAAACATAAATGATAATATTAATTTCTTTTATTGAGACAAGGATAAAATATTTAGATTTTCATCTATTTTACTACTAGCCCTCTAAAGCACACAGCAATGAACAACAAAATACATCAAGATATTTACACAACAGCATGTACAGGAAAACAAAAACATCCTTAATTGAAACATATTGATGAAAAAAATACATAATATATAATCATGACTTAAAGGTAGCACTATATCATGTTTTTGAATTAAAATATTTGTTTACAAGTCATTGATGAGCACTATATCCATGCATTATTGAAAGATTTATGAACAATCAGCATTATCCGCTCTAAGATTGATGGGGAAATAACTGTGTACCTGGATTTTATTGAAGTAAAGTCCAGCCTCTATCGGGTTTACAGTGTATGTTGACACACCCACAATTGGTTCGTCTGTTGGGTTTTCAGCTGTGTAAAAAGCCAGGGCAGTCTCTCCTACAGCAACCTAGTCAATAATAAGTTAATTGATAATCATTCTCTCTTACAGCAATCTAGTTCATCGCATTCATTCTCCCTTACAGCAATCTAGTTAATTGATAATCAATCTCTTTTACAGCATCTAGTTAATTGATAATCATTCTCTTTTACAGCATCTAGTTAATTGATAATCATTCTCTCCTACAGCAATCTAGTTAACTGATAATCATTCTCTCTTACAGCAATCTAGTTAATTGTTAATCATTCTCTCTTACAGCAATCTTGTTAATTGATAATCATTCTCTCTTACAGCAATCTAGTTAATTGATAATCATTCTCTCTTACAGCAATCTAGTTAATTGATAATCATTCTCTCTTACAGCAATCTAGTTAATTGTTAATCATTCTCTCTTACAGCAATCTTGTTAATTGATAATCATTCTCTCTTACAGCAATCTAGTTAACTGACAATCATTCTCTCTTACAGCAATCTAGTTAATTGACAATCATTCTCTCTTACAGCAATCTAGTTAACTGATAATCATTCTCTCTTACAGCAATCTAGTTAATTGACAAACATTCTCTCTTACAGCAATCTAGTATATTGATAATCATTCTCTCTTACAGCAATCTAGTTAATCCAAATCATGCCATCAGTCAACAACCAATTTCCTAAAGTAGCCTAGTTGACCAAAGTTGTGCTATCAAATAACAACGAGTCTCTCCTGTTACGACCATGCATGCTTCCATACGGTTTCATTTTAATCCTCTTCCACATCCCTCATACTAATTGTGTCTGTAATTATTCTACTCTATCTGTCTCTTGTTAATACATATTTTTTAGTAACAATTTTGTTCAAATCTTATTTCTGATAAATGTTCACAACTCAACTCAGATATACTCCTGTTTCGATTCATTTCAATTGAGCAATTCAATTGTTTTAATGACATGAAAAGTATTTACATACAATCATATACACAGAAGATGCCAAGCAACAGTGCCTTATTAAACAATTCAAAACAACAAGCTCTAGCCTTGTATATGTACACAAGATATTTGACAATCAATTGGAAGTAGAAAGTCAATATTTTAAGTAAAGATCTGAGGGAGTTTTAATCAAGTTTATTTAATTATATAATCTCAGAAAAAGAATCCCCAATAACAAAGGGAGATCAAACACTTGTGGGAATTGTCAATGAATATCCGATAGAATGCCATAAAAATAGGCAATCAAACAGGGGAAAGAAAAGGATAGAGATTATCTTATTTCATGTCATTTACATATTTGTCGCTACCTTGGACAACCATCATTAAAACAGAATAGATCTTTACGAGCCCTGGTTGAAATTAGCACTTATTTGTGTGACATAATAATAATTGTCTCAATCTTGGAATTTTAACAATAGTGATATTACAGTAACCAAATACATTTCTGTTTCCTACAGACAATTGGACTATTCTTTTTTCAGTCATATTCATCTGAACTTTACACAAAATATATACCTACAGAGCTTTCTTATTGTCTTTTATTTCTGTAACGTGTTAAAATATACCTTCACAAAAGACTGCTGGGGTTCAAATTTCCACCGTAGTGAAGATATTTTATCTGCTCTAAAAATCACTTTGATGATCCTTTCTTCGACTTTTTCCATATTTTCGACCTTGTCTACATCATGTCCTCTTACAGCTTTGCCTCCCTGTCCAGTGGCCTGTAAAGATACACCTACTATAACATCCGTACCTCCTTGTACATTCTTTGCTATTCCACACTATGATCATTTTGTTGATATATTTTTATCAGACTGATTTCATATTCCAAAACAAATTTGTGCAAGCCATCTCTGGACCTAATATATGGTACGATAAATTCTGAAGCAAATTTTAAAGCAGAATCCTGTTTTGGTGATACATGGCATTTCTAAGCTATATGGTACAGTAAGACTCAAGTTACGATTTATAACTGTTTACTCACCTGACAAAAGATTCGATACAGTGGCACAGATGCAAAGCCCATCCCCAACATAAACAAGGCCAGTGAAAAGCAGTAAAGTGTGATTGTTTTCCTTCGTTCTTCTTGCTGAGAACTTCCTTTTGAGTCACTGGATAAACACCTGATTACAAGGCATTGTGACGAACGCAGGCATTGTGTATTTAACAAATGTTGTAATTTATACACACCGATATTTTTGTTTGGTTTTGAAATGTAACATACAGATTTTGATTGACATAATGTTCTAAAAGGATAACTTTTAGTCCTTGTTTGATGAAGAATATTTGACAGAACACGTGTTTGATGAGAGGCACCAATATGTTGCAACTGACTCCCAAGACGGACAGCTAGTGACATGGCTTCTTCAAGTGCTGAAACTGTTTATCAAAAGAAATCTGAAAATAAAACAAAACAAAACATGACAACATTTAGCAATACGTAAAGTCCTTGTCATAAATAGATTTTCATGTTATCAGCTGAAAATACCATGTCATTTTAGTGCGAAGATATCGCAAAAGAACAAAGCTATAGGGGCACATCAATTAGCTCTTCATTTATAACCAGTGAAATTAAATAAAATGGATATTTAACTTAACCAATATTTTCTTAGGTACAAAAAGAAAATGTTTACTCCACTTCAATAGATTTGATTACATGGAAGCTGCAAGCCTTCTGCTTGTTTGGATTAAATCCAATAGAAAGTTTTAAAGACAAATATGCAGATGAATTTTTTGTCAGTTTTAGTATTAGTTGACATACCTTAAGGTAGAATAAAAAAGAATAAATAAAGCAGAACTCGTCACATTGATCACGTCTTTAAACATATACATGTTGTGATGAAGTAATTACCTGCTACAATATGTTGTCTACTGAATACAACTAGATTAACCATATAACCTGATTAAGTTACCACTTACAACCAGTATCATGGGATATTTTCAACTTACCCACTCTTTTAAACCCAAAATACATCAATAAGTTTGAGAGGAGCAGATTTATATCCACTGATTTGAGAAGATGTTCTGGCAACCACTTGTATTTCACACAGGCTCGAGTTCAGTTGAAACTCATACTGATAATAAATAAAAGAACCAGCACATCTTCTCAACTGATGAAATAAAAGGACATCGCTATACTAATGAACTACAGCTATTGACCACAAGACATAAAGTCAACCTAAACAGATTTGGAATGGTTAGTGATCAAATGCCCGACCACATGGGTTTTCATTGGGTCCTTCATTTTCCTCCATTCATGAGCTGCCATTTGGACAATGAAGAGTGATTATGTAATATATTGTGAAAAACTTATTTTGTAACCTTCCTATATTATATACATTTAAAGGTTCACATCATGATTTTAACCTTCATAATCATATCTTTCATAAGAACATAGCTTTTAGATGCCACCTGAGTGAAGATCTTCATAGACTAGGACCTAGAGGGAATTTAAATCAACAACTGGACAGGGTTGCCTCCCTTACCACATGGTTGCCTTTATGTTTTGATGGTTCAAAAACCTGAAGCAGCAGTCCAGTGAAGAAATATCATCACTCAACCAGCTTTTGGAAATCTTAAGAAGAGATCAAACAGCTGAGTGAACAAGATAATAGTTATCCTTTTACATGAACATACCATTAACATGGCTCTGGTCCACGCTGAATCCTGTTTTCACTTGATTACAAGTAACAACTTTATTCACTGATACCAGAATATATGTTTTTATTTATTTAAAGAACACTTCATATTCTAATAAACTATGGTTTGCAGAATATATGTTAACTTGGAATTCAATGTTAAATTTTGGAAACCAATTTGCATTTTCTCAAGCCATATGCTGGTCTTCATATGTCAGTGTGCTTGAAGTTTTAAATCTGAACTGCGATGTTTGACAGTTTAACAATGGAAATAACTCACAAAATAGTCAGTAAATTATCCCTGTTATAACAGTTTTTGAAGCTAATGTATAGGGATTCAGTGTCTGATTTTGCTGCCTAATGAATGTCAGACTAAATGAAATCTAACAACTCTAAGTTTGTTGAAGTCTAGTGACAGTTATAAGGCATAATATATAGTGAATCATATGCCATATTAAAGACAAATTATTTATTTGTCAATTCAAACCACTCCAAATAGTGTAATGACAATCACAAGTCAAACCAAAAATGGATTATTTCCATACACCAACTGAGTCATAAAACCTTGTAATAGTGTACTGAGACAAGACTTATACCTGTATCTATGCCTTGTTTCAGTGCGACTCTTCTGTTTCAAAATCATAAATACATATACAATAAACTAGCATACTTTAAACGCCTTCTTTGAGGCTTTACCTTTCTCATATTATTTATATTATTATTGAACTGTGAAATATCAAATATATTGTTATATATGTAAAACATCACTTTATGAATCTTTGAAGGCAAATGTTACGAGACTAGAACCACCCGACTATAGATCTTATGTCCAATATCATGAAACAAAAAAACAACACTTGTTCAGTCGAGCTATTTCTGTGACAAATAAAGATATAATGATGGAAAACTTAAAAACAAACAGAAACATGGCAAACAATTAGCATCAGCCTTTATACAGGGTATACAGGCTAAAGCAATAAGGATTAAATGATAGATCAAAATTGGGGCCAGTACTTACCAGGTATGTGTAATGTACGTAGAAACATTAATCTTAAAAAATATCGCTTAACTAAATTACAATAACTCTATGTGGTGACCTTCGCGACTGCTGGTATTGTATAAGTTAGCGAGTTACATAACGGCCGATTTTGTCAGAAAGGGTTTCTTGCTTTTAGAATGTCCATGACATCCAAAAAAACAAATTAATTCACATTTAGAGTACAGACTGGCAATGTATTCCATTATTTCCTATTTACATACTCACTTCGCCACAACTGTTTTCAACTTGTTACTGTTCTACACCTTCGTAGCAGGGCGCAGCCATTTTCTTTTGAGACAGGAAGTTAAACAGTATTTATAATAATAGACTGGTGCGACGTTGTTTTTATCCCGGACTTGGGGAAAGTTTATCTTCGAATACGAAACTGGAAAGCTCTTTTATTGATATGGAATTGACAAGCAGATATATTTTTATTGAAGGATAAAAAGAACATTCATGTTTATGAACTCTAAATTATCTAAATCACTAAACCCACCTCGAATACGCCAGTGCTGTTTGGGAACCCTACAAAATGAAACAGTGAACAATTGGAAGGCAACAAAACGACTACCTAGAATGAAAAACCTGTCATATTAAGAACGACCGAAGAAGTTGAAACTGTAGAACCTTACCCACAGATGTACAAGATAATGAGAGGGAAATAGGACGAGGGGACAGCACAGCCTATAAGGATGTGGTCTGATACCATAGAAAGAACCAGCACAATGACAAAGTGCCGAAACATGCAAGAACATCACTACGGAGAAATTAATTCTCCATAAGAACAACGGAAGTATGGAACTGTCCACGGGCTGAATACATAGTAACTGCAAACACACTAAAACTTCAAATCGTGTCATCAATCACCAACCAATCTCCTAAAGCAGCCTAGTTGACGAAAGTTGTGCTATCAATTAACAATGATTCTCTCCTGTTACGACCATGCATGCTTCCATCCGGGCCAATAAGTGTTATTAACATAAGTTGGAATAACTTGTTTTGCAATTGTAAATAAGTAAGGTTCCATTTTAATTCTCATACTAAATGTGTCTGTGATTATTCTACTTTTTCTCTGTCCCTTGTAAATACATATTTTTTAGTAACAATTTTGTTCAAATCTTATTTCTGATAAATGTTGACACACTATACTCAGATATACTCCTGTTTACCTCCTTCAAAATCAATCTGGATGACTTCTGAAATTGACAGGAAATTAAGTACAACAACTACAAGGGGGCCGCATACGTATTACAACCGGAAGTGAAAATTATTGTTATAACTCTTGTTAGTCCAGCGAATAGGATCCAAAAAATGAAAATGTGTTGGAAAATATCGTCAAATTAAATAAAATGGCCCATGTAACTTTTGCCTCATCATCATAAAGTTTACCCGTATTCTTCCCCATTAAACGGGATCAGAGACATAAAGGTCTCAGATCCAAAATTATAATAATTATAATTATTTGCGCTTGTTCATTGAGCCGTGAAGACCTTCCTTTTGATTTTTACTTGTGCCCCATTCACTACAAAACATAAGCTGTCTCCGCACTGACCGGCCCAACCAGTACAAATTTGTCGACCAGTGTAAAGGGAATCTCATTTTCAAAATAATACTAATAAATTCAAACGACGAATTATAAAAAAAACATTGGTCAAACGGATTTTTTTTAACTTGTTCAGATTTTAAGTGCCGCGGATTTACAAAGTACTTTCTTCCATATAGAATGATATTTCAGTTATTGATAGCTCAAACACCCGTTTTGTTTTTGTTTTTTAATTAAAAGTTAACAGAAAGTATTTGTCACAAGTCAGCACGATCTACTTGAAAATTGAGATTTCTACTATACATACTGTTTGTTTTGAAATTAGTTTGGCACTCTTGGAGAAAAATGGTATGAAAACACAGCGAGACCGTTGGACTTTGATTGATAACGTATTTCAATTCAATATATACCGTAATACAATAATCGTACAGAAAATATCAATTTATAAGATACAATTAGCACGTTTCGAGACAACTATAATAAGCAGGTATCAAAATAGATACAAATATGCATTTTCCAGCAGTCTCAAATCCCTCTATCATACGTGTCTGATTTTACATGCCATACATGTAGACTTGCTTACAAGAAGATTTCATTTTGTTGGCGTGCTAGTATCGCATCTAATAAATTGTTTATCATGAGATGGCTACAGTTCACACCTGTCCAGGAAAATCAATGGGGTTGTCAGTTGGGGTTTTACTGGGGCGTCCTTTGAAATAACTGACCATATGCACTCATATGATAAACTGTGATGTTTTTATTCAACGTATGTTGTTGAACTTAATTGTCTGATTTTATAATAATCATTGAAGGAGGTTACTTCATATTTGTGATTTTGAATATGGATACCACGGATTCAAATTTGAAAGAAGTATGTACCGTACTATCACGGAGGCTACACCAGTTACCTTCTAAGGTCGCATTAGTAATATGATAAAATCACTCAATCGTGACCGGCCCCGTTCTACCTGTGCGCTCTCGATTCACTAAAGGGAGATAACCCGTGGTGTCCCCGTAGAAAACGAAAAGAAAGACACGCTAATCACACAATATATTGGAAAGTTGTTCCTGGCTGTTGTCGTTAGGATCAAGAAATTGGTTGAACAAGGAATTGTCATAATTATGTTTTATCGACACCTTAAGCAGTACCTTTATATGATCAGCGCACACTAAAAGGAAAGGAATGAAGATTTCAAAGTCGTGGCTCTTGGATATATCTATCGTCACAACAACTACACTTAGTACGAGTTCTGTCCTTTCCTACGCCTCAATACCATGTATATTGCACACAGCGTTTTACTGCGTAGAGACATGTAACATCAATCTGATCCTTTTTACAAAAAATACATCCGCCATAATGATCCTGTTCATGGTTGTATCTCGATCGTCGGTAAGCAAAACGAATTCAAGATGTCCAATCTCGCTAAAGAGTTCGCGTGTAAAACATGTTGGTACTACCTGTGAGTCATGTAATCAGGACGGCTGTTTTACTAATGAGAATAGGATATTTGAACCCTTTGATAAGTGAACTGGTCAACGTAAGACGTTCTCGTCAGTATAACGTGAAATCAAAAGGGGGTTGTTATCAAACGGGTGCTATCTCATTTGTTTATGCCATTACAATAGTGTTATAGCATGTTTACACGCTTTAAAGACTACGTATGTAATATAAAGACTTTGTTATTTTCATAAATTTCCACCAGGTTGTCACTTCAACTCACACATCTCCGAAAAGTTATATTTTGACAGGTTTTTAAGTGAACTGTAAAGGAAAAAATCAAACGGAGACAACAATAATGTTGCGTCACTTTTAATTCATGACATGACGTCAGTTTGTCCATGGTATGACATCACAATCAATGTTAGACTTAGTCAATGAAAAAAGGCTGTATTACACTAGTGCCATAATGCAAAGTCGAAAATATTTCATGAACGAAATCACTCGATAAAAGGCGGATTATGATGTTTATCACCTTCGTCTCCAGACTACATGTTTTTATCATTCTACGAAGATTTTCAAATAAATTTTCAGTTAGTTCAAAATTCGAATTTGTTGGCCGAGTTACAATTTGGTAAATGTTTTATTATACTTATCATTATTCTACGTACGACGTACGAAGCTGTTGGGACATCGCATCTGATTCGGTAACACTCCAAATATCATTGGTTGAATATTTGCCCGAAAAAAAATGAAAGGAAAGCCGTTTCTGGTGTTAATTAACTTCTTATGTATATTCCAAGTGACATGTTTGTAACATCGATGATTTGCAGTAAGTGTATCAGAAAGCATTACCATGTCTTCTAATGCAGAGTTCACGTCAACAGTTTGACCGCAATCACTCGTTCGACATACCTTTCACTTTGGTATGCGGTTTCTAATTTAGTATGGATGTGATGCATAATTAAAACAGTTTTTTAATCATATTCGCTTATAAACCGACTAAAATGCAAATGAGCTGTGCAGCGCAAACCTATGATGTATTCCTGTATAACCTTTAGTGACGAGAAAGAATTCCGTTTGTCCTGGAGATTATACATTCTATTCTATGTCCCTGTGTATATGTAATCGAAGTGCGAACAGATTTTGTGACCAATCACCGTAACATCGGCAGTTAGTATCAATTAGCAGAGGTCTAATAGGACTGCGTTGTATGTCGGTCGAACCCTGATATTAGTAAGGCATTCGATCATATATATAAGCAGTCAAATTTATCAGTGACTTAAACACAATACTTTAAAATAGACGAATTCTATTTGAAAAAATGTAAAGGAACACATACATGATATCAATACTGAAGAGGATATACGGGGCAAGAAAATCAATCAAAACGTCGGTTATTCCCGATGAGGCTGATAATATACCTAACATGGTCAACCCCTCTGTACGTATCTAGGGAAGGACGTTGTACTACCTAATGATGTTACAAGGCCATGTTTGTTCTGATGTGCTAGGGCCTATCAATTATTATCTTAAAAATAGCATTTAGCCATAAAATCCGATAGGTAGTATTTTGGTTTGCACGTCAGTGAAAGGCTTTATTAGCGGCGGACCACGCGTGTTCGCGTGTGGACCTGACCATCTTTTTTAAACGAAAGTTTATATGTAGAAAAGTCGAAACCTTATGACTTGCAAATCAGTAATCTACAGGCAGCAAATAGTGTAGTGTATGTAGACATGTGACTATAACGAGTGCAAGTGTAGCTTGACAGCAAGTTTGAAATATTTGTCTTCATTATTCATCCACACGCACCGCGTATAGGCGGCTATGTCGTCACAGTGAAAATGTGAATATGTCATACGACTACAGTTTATGTACAATAGTTTTTTCTAGTAACAACGTTCAAAGAGCCATTGTATTTTCGGAAACCCTTATAATATTCAATAGAAAAAAGTGTGGTTTCCGGTATTGGTCATAATTTCCGCTGTTACTATTTCAGTAAGTTAAGTTGTATTCGGTACAATTTCACGATTACACTACTACGCCTACATACACAGTGCCGTACTGTAGTAAGCTACTCGAATTTTGTACCCTCCCTTATTAATCGACCAATCAAATCACTCTACTTCATTCAGCGCTTAAAAAAACATGGGATCAAGATGGCTGACGTGAACTCTGTCGTGGAGGAAAAAGTAAAGTTTAGAGATGGGAAAAAGGTAATTGTACAGCGATTTTTGTAAAGGATGATGTTATATTGACTACTGTTTGTTGCATTTTTTTCTTATCACATGCCCTTTCTGTGATTTTATAGTGGAAGGCCCGATGGTGTGTACTAAAGAAACCATCTCCGGTGGCTGGTGAGTACGATTTGTTTACAATATTTGGAGTCCTTCTATGAACGAAGTTTCGATGTTACCTTTTAGTTCAGGATTGAACTTTCACAAAAAATGGAATCATAAAATAAGACTCATAATTCTTATAATGATTCAGCAACCATCTGCAGGTGCGTTTGACATCTCGAATATAGTACAGGTACCAAAACAATAAGACAGCAATATGACAACTGACGGAACTGTCAACTGTCTAATGTAACACACATGCATGTACTAACAACGTTTAAATAATCGTGATCAATGAGGTTGAAGATACATATTCAACACGCATGTAATATTGTTAGAATTCATATTACTCTTTGGCAACCCCTCCGCATTGTCACATTATTTGACATAAATGATTAAGTGCGATTAATTGCTGCCTTGGCCTGCCTGCAGTACTGATTACATAATCGTCCAGATGTGTAATAAGTAAATATTAGTAATAGTCAAGCTTAAAATGTCTTATCTAATTTGCACAGATTAAAATGATATATGATATCAAGTGCAAACAATAGTGTTATGGTTTGTGGTGTTTATTTCAGAGTAGTAAATTTATTGAACTAGTGTAGATATGTAGAATCTGTCTGTACTTTTAAGGTGTGGATAAGATTTCTTTGTCCTCTATTAATTTGCACAGGGCACAACCAGGTTCCTTTTTTGGGGCAAAAAACAAGAGGGATAATACATTTTTTCTTCAGAAAATAAAATGTATTTAAAATGCCATGTACATATGGTTTATTAAATGTTGCACATATATCAGTTGATTGATTCAAAGTTATCAACCTCAAATCTAGCATGAAAAGCTTGATTGTCAATAGATATTTTATTGTGGTTGAACACACAGACAAGATATTGAAAAATGCAACATCATAATTGTTTGAAAATAAACAGTATGATTTGTATAACAACACAGGAACATCATAAACAAACATTGAACAGATATTGATAAAAAGGTTCAGAGGACAGCATACCTAGTATGCTGAAACATGTCAACATTAAAGCCTGGTGAAGATCTTCCTTTGATGTTGTTTAGTCATCTATACATATTGTTTATACGTAACTAGTACTGGACTTGTGTATTCCTAAGGAAACTGTCTTAGGAAGATAACCAAAAAATAACAGAACTGCCAACACAGATGTTGGATGTTTTCTTTGTATTAAAAATTAAGTAAGTTCAATATTGTAAGTTATGGGGGATCCCAGAGCTCCGCAACTGAAGCCTTCTTTCTTGTCTTAAATGTGTTGAGGGAATAAAATATGTATGTGTTCAATAAATAAAAACAGCAATGAAAATACCATTATGTCAACATACCATCAAAACTCAAATTCAATGAGACTCATGAAAAATATGAAGGGAATCAGACCTGGTGTTCCTGAAAAGTTAGAATCTTCTTACTATTCTGTTCACCTCATTCACATTCCCCATGGTTGTTATGTATAGATTTGCATATGACATTTTTCTGTAGGGACACTAGTAGTATGTTGATAAAATATGTTCTTTACTAGTAATTGAGTTTAAAACTGTTCATATGAAATTGATCTTCGTATAAGAATCAGGAAAACTAGGAAGAGGTGTGTATTATCTTCAAGCAATACCATATTTATCTACTAGGTATCAGTGGTACTGTTCTTTTACTTGTCAATTAATGGTAGATGCTGGTACAAAAATAATTAAGATGTAGTGTTTAATTTGAAGCAATCCAAGATAAAATCTTCCCTGGTCTGATCATTGAACATAAGTGTAACAAAACCATGGGTAGATAAAATAATAAGTTGGGCTCTTCATTTAAATTCAGGCACTTTTCCTGTAAATTTGCAGCAGAAGATGAACACTTTATCCCACACATAAGCTATTCCCACCATTAATAAAATAGTGTGTTCTGAAAGCTTGATGGAAGTAAGCTATATATAGTAGCTGCAACGGTACTAGCAGAGTTACAAGTTCCATGGCCGCCTTTTCTATAAATACACCATCCATGATCATTTCAACAACTTTGGAAACAATCAATTCATGAATCCTGTATTACAAGATGTCATACAATTGATTTAAGAATAAAAACATTAAATTATCCCTAGTTTCTATAGTAAACAATTTAGCCTGGAATATGTCAGAAACATCACTCAGATTTGTGTTATCAGCTAATGATCAAAACTACAAAAATTTATCATCCTTGTGATCTGCTTTTTGATGCAGTTGAATTCAAATGTTTTAATACGCATGAAAAGCAGAAGCTTAATCATATTTACATGTATAATAAGAAAATACTGTTCATTACTTATGACTGATAGCTTGTTACCAATCAATGTGGAAAGAAATCGTCGTCTGTTATTAAACAGGGATTCATCTAGACAAATTTTACTACCAGAAAGTGATAGTAGTAGGTTTTGCACCTTTGAAAACAAATTAATTTTCCATCAAGAAAATATAACGAAAACATGGTTTTCCAAAAATAAGGAAAATTTTTACTAAAACAAAGCTAATTATATATTTAACGTAACATATTTTTAAATCATGCCGTCATGAAATATCAATTATCAATCTAACCTCAGCATTGTCATATTTTAAACGTGGAATGTTCATTTATTTATTCAGTATCCATCTTTTCAATTCTGTCCAAATGAGATGTATAAAATTTTCTTTTTTCCACCATATGAAGTATTTTCCCAAGTTTTATAATTAACCATGTTAATGACTTCTATGCATTGTGCAATTAGTTTACAATAAGTAATACATATATCAGTGTCATTATGTGTATATTTGTAGCTACAGAAGACATACTCTGCTGTCCAAATAAAATATCTAATATATATGTTCAAATACTATCAACATTAAGAGTGTGCTGTAGATGTTTTGAGAGGGCAAGTCTTTGAATTTCTGTTTCACTTTTAATTAATTTTACTTTGATAACAAGCTAAGTAATGATCACATTATAAATTGCTCAGTGCCAGCTGCAAAGTGAAGATACTTCTGTACATTTAAAACACTAATTGTGCTATAAGATAATATATGTTAAATGATTTGCTGCCCAAGCTGGTATATGTTTACATTATTTAACATAACAGAAACCTTGATTTGCTTTTAATCACACTGTATATTAATTATTTAACTCAAAGTGCTGCCAGATGTGAGCTTATCAAGTCTCAAGACTTGTAAAAATTTAGTCTCCAGGTTTGCAAAAAGAGATTCTCTAATTTTCATCTGTCTCCAGTTTTATAAGATTTGAAAATAGATTCTATATTCTCCAGGTTTGTAAATCAAGATTCTCAAATTTCCATGTGTGTAAATATTTTTTGTAGTCTCCAGGATTGTGAGTAGAAATGATCTATTCTTCAGTTTAGTAATACAAGAATTCCTCATCTCCAGATTTGTTAAAAGCAGTTTTCTAGTCTCTAGCTGGTTTGTTGAAGGCTCCCAGTTTGCCAATAGAGAATGGTTTAGGGATCGTATTTTCAGATGTTTCTGCATACTGGGTAATCAATCCTTGTTGCAAATTTTAATGAGTGAATGATCAAGATTTATTTTCCAGTAACTTGAAATCTGGTTAGAAAAAGAAATTTGTGTTCCATATCTGGAAAACTATTACTTATTGCTTCTGGGATTATACTTGCATGAGTGATGCACCTATGGAGGTGTTGCATAATCAAGGGTGCAGATGCTGAATATGACCTACATTTTATACTTCAGTGACTAAGCCAAGATGCAAGTATATACAGAGTTCTTCAGGATTGCATCAACATTGAGTTGCTTCATGTATTTTTGAATCACTTATATTGAGTATATTTACATTGGAATGTATGTATAGTTCATGAGTGCAAAACAGGAGATTTGATGGAGGGTATCAATGACAGTGTTGTCTTGTAATTATTAATGTAAGAATGGATTCCTAAACAATTTCAGCAGAAGTCTTAAGTACGTAAATAGGGATGATTTAGGTGGATATGATGAAATAGTAGAAATGGATATATATATATGTACAGTAATGTAGGAGATGCTTTTGAACAGACAAATTTAAATGCCTTCATTTCATTATTTTCACAGAGACTTTATCTCGTAATTATCAAAGACAATCCAATTGAAATTCATGTTTAGCCCAGGACAAGCTTTGAGGAACTGGTTAGGGAATGTCAGCAGAAAATTCTGAATTCAAAATTATAAGATTGTGCACTGGCATTCTAATCAATTTCTACTGATTGACCAAGAGATGTTGATTACCCTCATCACTGAGAATTGATGTGACAGGCTACTGTTTTGTTAATGTGATTTGATGTCAGAAGCCCATTTATCTGGCAGGATTCACTAGATAAATGGCCCTTAGTTTCAATGTCTGTTGCATAAATCACTGATCAGTGGAGGTCCCTTGTCTTCAGATTTTGAATTTCAATTAGAGAAATTTACAAGTACAATACTTCAAAGATAACAGTCAGCTTTAGTAAAGACAGTGGTTAAATGTACAAATACATGCATCTACACACACCCCATATGACGTAATGATGTACATTTCATGTTGAACCATCAACAGAATGAATCATGAACAAATTAAAATTTGTGAGCATACCTTTTTTATATACAATGTATTGGTTTCAGTTGTGTTGTTGACTTGTATTTTTGATGTTGAAAGTGTAGTTGCTTTGCCTTCTGTGATCATGATAAAGACATAAATGATACATATATTAGAATGAATGTTCAGAAAGCTGCCAAAAAAAAAGAGATTAAATTAAAATTAATTACCCATATACATAATAATCACATCTTGCAAAGGTTAGAAAGGAAAATTATACTTATTTATATACTCTGTAAACCATGAAACCGCAGTATACATTTTTTAGGGATCTGAGGACTAGGGCTGTTAGTAAGGTTTATCTTCTGTGACCATCAGTAACTGAATACAGTACTGTACATTTCTGTTAACCCTTGTGAGGCTGTCTCGAGGAACATAGTGATATATCATAACCACAGTCATGGGAAATGACTATTATAGGCA